ACTGATTCATATTCCAGTTAGAAACGGGGAAATTCACGAAACACAACCATGCAGCCATCCCCTTCGCGAGCCTATGGTTACTTCGCGAGCCTATGGAACTGTTAGTGATAAACTATTAGTATTCAGCACCTTAACCGCATGGCCACTGGTGGGATTTTCATCTTACTATACAAGAAATGAGCATCCGAATTCAAGAATTTAATTATTTGGGCCATTTACAAGGTTGGTTTGTAGCTTACAGATGTACTTAATGTATTCATAAATCTAATTGTTATCAAACGCATATTTCAAATTTTGCTTGAATTAAAAAAATTTTAATATTCAGTAAATGTTTGTCATTTTTTATTAATCTTATATTAAAATCTGCAAAAGGGGTCTGTAAAGGATTTGTATTTTACTCCCAAGAATACTTTTAAGGGCCCTATATGTAAAGTAAAAATATTCGAAATATTGTGCATGAAAAGGGTAAGAAGGAAATAACGTTACTTCAAAAATTATGATTAATTGAAACTACATTGTCCCTACTTTAATCGAATGCATGACTATTCAGTAAACGCGATTTGTTTTTTAAATTTATGCAAAATATTTTGCAACTTATCTGTTGTGATAATTGTTTCAAGTAGGTAATTGTGCCAATGAAATAGGTAATGTGTCAATAAAAATTCGAACACATTACATAGTATAACATTAGAAATATCTTTAGCAAGGATTTCACGAAATGTTTTGGAGTTATGTTGCCTTATCAAACAGCATTAGTATTTTCGTTACTTAAAACATTGAACTAAATTATTACTGAATCGGGTTCTTATTAATATATACTCTCTAGACTGCTTCATATGATGGACTTTTTCTGTCCACAAATACTGTAGTTAGATTTATAACACTATTTAATAAATTCGAGTTTGTGTGCTTAACAATTGTGGAAAATGGAAAAATGGGAAAGGAAATATATCAGAAATAACCAATTTTCTTTAACCAATATTCAACTGTAAACCATTGGGGGAACTTTCTGATTTTATAAGTGCAATACACGAACGATAAAGATGCGAAAACTTATAAAAGCTCTTAAAATGCACAGATAGTCATTAATTTTTATCTTTCCATATTTTCACCAAAATACACATTTTATGTGCTGCAGAACTCATAACTTTTATTTTAGCAAACACTTTTACTTTTAAATTAATTATATGCATAGGATTAGGACTTGCATAACATTCTTCAGGCCATTAAATTTGATTTATTTCTGCTTCTGATGAGAAATCAATATTTCATATTTAAAAAACTATGCTGATGTATGACAAGAAGGATTTTAGTAACATCCTGCGAAGTATTTTGTTTCCATTCTTAAATTAACTTAAGATTGGCATAATACTTTCAAGCACAAGAAAACAAAGCACCTTTCCTCTCGGAGGCGGGCGGATTTTGCACTGATGGAAAGCTCCATTACCGGTCTCTGAGACTCCCAATCGCTTCGCTGGATGACCTAATCCCCGTTGAACGATAAAGACAAGAATAATGCTTTCGCTGCTGCTTTAAAAAATACCGTGTCTATCACACGATTACGTTGCTAAAGAAAGGCCAAGCGAAACGAATGTAAACACCACGAAATTTAGTGTTATTTTATAGCGAAATCTAGCGTTAGAAAATTAATTAAGTATTTGAAAAACCTAGAATATGAAAAACAATCTACCAAACTAAAGTGCAAAAATACACGAAACTGAAACTCTAATTTTTTAAAGCTATGAATATTTAAAGAGATTAATAAGAAGCTAAAATGTTTCACAATTTTGACGAAAATAAATACTCATTTGAAAAGTCAAAATGAGATAAATAAAAAAAGCTAAAGAAAGATAGATTATTTGATTACTTATTGATCCAAACATATAATAAAGAGCTAACCTATTAAAAAGATATATTTTTACACCATCTCGGTGAAACTGCTTAGGAATTTATGAAACTGATAAATTGGCATAAATATTTTTAAAGCTTCTAAAAAACCTTCTTGATATGCTAAAGTCTGATTGATAGATTAACTGTGGAGACGAAAGCAAGAGCTATGTGCTCTGGGGAAGATTCCTTTATAGAGGATTTAAGGAAAACAAGAACACATTCCTGTCAGACACGAAAAACACCGCTTAGAGAAATCTTCATGCATCGGGAACCGAACCTAGCACGAATTACCATTTTTCAGCGATCTCAATTAGTCAATCTGCCTACCAACTCAAAAATTCCTATGTGTATATTATAGCGAAACGAAAATTAAGACAATTATTAATTCTCTGAACGGCACGATCGTATATTTACGGTCTAGAATATTTTTGCAATATCTGTAAGAACGCAGATATACATGCATCTTAAAACAGGTCCAAGAAATTAAGGTAATATATTAAAAGTACATAATATAGGTATAAAGTATTGTGAGCATTTTAACATTAAAATCAAAAAAAAATTCTGTCTTATAATAGGTTTGGGAAATTTGTGCTTTCTTGGCGAAATCATGGCCCGTCCAGAGTGTTCGGGAATTAACAGTGTTTGGGTATGGAAAATTTATTTCTCCTTTTTTGTCATATGGCTCATATCTGTTAATACGAAGCAATAAAATTTCATTGGTGTTTGCCTGGTGTAAGTTAAACGACGCAAAAAGTGTGTAGGTATCTCTTTGAAATAATTATTTGCTTAGAATCGAGTCTTTCTTAATCTTAACTGAATATCTGCTTAGTTTGGAATAATATTACTTTATTATCTTTTTCTTTTTTTTCGGTCGGGGGTGGGTTAGTCGACTAACAGCATTTGGATTTGGATAGACGTCTGGCTGTGAATCGTTTAAAACCAATAAAGCAGTCATTTTACGAACTTTGGAACTGTTTTAATAAATCCAGGCATGCTGTTGAACAATAATTTTGTGGCAATGAATACATCTGAAAACGTTACTTCAATTTCCTTTAATCTGGTTTAATTTTAAATATGTATATATAACTAAATTAAATCTTTGATATATATATCAAAGATTGAAGTAAATACATTAATTAAAATAACTGCCTAGTACTTGCGCAAAAGCTGTAAAATAATAAAATAATAATTTATTTATTAATGGATTGAGTATATTATCTTCTTTGAGAAAGTTAATAATATTTTAATTGAATGAAGTAACTTATAAGTATTTAAAAGAATTTTGAATTTTTTTTAAATGAAACATCAAGTAAGAATTAAGAAAAAATTTAAAATGTAAACTTTTAAAAATGACAATTAATCGGCAAACCAATTAACTATCGTCACTGGTCGAAAACTGGTTGACCTTTCAAGGGGAAACAAACCAACCCCGATCAGTTGACAATGATTAATAAATATAATATATGTAATATTTGTTTACATTTGAAACTCTTAGTAGAATAGTAAATTAAGTCAGTTTTGTGGACCAAGTTCAGTATTTTTTGCCGCGAGGGGCAAAAATTAATATTTTAGTTTTGTGAACCGAAAACGTTGTCTTCTCTGCCCGCTGGACAATTGCGTGTATTTGCGTAGAAACTCTAATTTTAACTGTAAAAATTGTTTTACGTGGTTTATAACTGTATTTGGTGCTTTTACAAATTTTAACGATATTTTAAGTTTTTATATGTTTTTGCCTTGTCGCGAAGTGACAAATGAATTAATTGAATGAGAAATGCGTCTAAAGAAATTCGAGGAATTAAATTTAAATGAAATGCAGTAAAAAGTATGTGCAACTTAATAGCTCATACGAGGAAGTCATGTGGTCTGCATATTTCCGAATATGCTGTTGAAAAAATAATCAATTATACACAAAAAGTAAGAAATTTATAACAAAATTCAATAGCAGTAAAATCCAAAAGCTCCAATAAATGTGAAAAAGAATTATCAACCAACTGTCACCGAACCAGAAGAATTCACGAAAACTACATATTTAGTTCACGAGAACTACAAAATACTTTCTCGCTAGACATACATATATTAAATGCATATATATGCGTATATATGTTAAACGCATATATATGTATGTTATATGAAACGCATAATCGAATTTAACATTTATTTATCTTTATTGTTCTTGTTCAGACTGTGTACTCTGCTACTCTAGTTTATATTTTTGCTTTATGATTATCATGTTATCACGTTTAGATAATGATTTGTGAATCTCATTGCTAAACCTGTTTTTCTTTTACTGCATAGATACTCGATTTTACTTTCAACAAATACTTGGATGAAAGGATTAGAATACGAGTTCCATTTTGGCTCCATTGCTGCGTTGTAATAAGATTTGAAAAATTAATTAAAATGGAAACAGATCTATTACGTAAGCTGCTATTAGTCTGCATTCCCATAATATTGCGAGGATGGGATATTTCCGTGAATTTGCTTTTGTCAGATTGCTCCTTCATTCAGTAATTACGGTCACCGAGTGGATAAGTCCGCTGGTACTCTGATAGTTCGATCGGATTTAGTATCCAAGTGAATAGGTTGGATACGTGGTTTGAGTTCAGGCTGATTACTAAAGTCCGCTTCTAGGCTAGGCTACACTCAAGCGTATACAGCTCTGATAGCAGTTTTATCAATGATCCACTCATGATGAGATCCAACCTTCTTTCCAATGTCCGGCGAGAGTAGAATTAAACAACTGTTGGGTCGTAAATTCTGACATTTAAGTTTTGCCTCGTATACATATAAGATTTCGCTTCAATGAAAGCTGTTTTAAGAGGCGAAACAGAAAATGTGTAAACTTAATTTGATGCAAAATTAAATACAATGCGTGCCTGCGATGATCGTGTAGTTTCAGCTCTTCCGACTATTATGAATCGTATTCAAATTCCAAACACAGTAAATAATACGTCACTTCAAAGACATTTTTTTATATAAAATTCCAGATATTTTATAAATTAAAACACCAGCGTATGATAATAAAAATTATTTTGGGTAAATACATGTTTTGCACAATATTTGCTTATTTTATATATGAACTATGCTAATGTATACATTCTGTATTTCAGGCAATACGTTATGGGTGAATGTCCAACTCCAAGCATCCATGTTGGAAATACAGAAACAAACTCTACCGTCTTGGGCAACGTAACTTTACTTGCTGGATCTAATGCCGCACTTCAAAGCACTACTAACGAAAGTGTGGAAAAATTAAAATTCATCGCTTATGGCATCGTGAGCTCCGTCATCATAGCCCTTGGAATATTGGGTAATTCTATCAATTTAGCCGTTCTCACTAGGCCTAATCTCAAAGGAGTTACATTCGTCTATCTTACATGGCTTGCCATCTCCGATCTCATGTCTCTTGTGGTGAGTTTGAGTTCTATGTTCAGACTTCATGGCATGCAACCCAGGACATACACTGCAGCTGTGTACTATTCTCATATCGAAATGCCCCTTGTGAATGCCTTTATGGCAAGCAGCGTATTCCTAGTTGTAGCATTAACTATTGACAGATACTTCTCTGTGTGCTTGCCAACACGATTTAAAGAAATGCATAACTCTCAACGTGCGAAGCGCTCGATACTAGCGGCTTATATCTCTGCTTTCGTTTTGTACATACCAATATGTTTTCAAAAGAAACCGGTGGCAGTGCCAGTGCCATTCACCGACAAAATTGAATATATAGCCTGCGAATACACGCCAGTGGCGTCACATACTGCTTTTAAAGCGTATCTCATGGTTAAGGAAGTGATTGTGAGACTTGGCCCTGTTGTGCTGTTAGCAGTTATGAATACAACCATCATAATAACTTTCCGAAAAACGTTGAGTAAAAGGAGAGAGATGCTTAGTATGCCAAATGCCAATTCAGCCACTCATCAGCAGAGAGATGGAAACAAGAAATACAGAGAAGAGCAAAGACTTATCATATTATTAGCTGGTATTGTGATACTCTTCTTCATCAGCATGACGCCAGCTGCCATTTTAACTATACTGAATAGTGACGATAAAGAATTCAATTTTGGCTTTCAGTTATTCAGAGCCATTGCTAATGTTTTAGAGCTGTCGAACTACGCGATGAATTTTTATGTTTATTGCATGTGCAGTTCCGAAATTCGAAGGACTTTCGTGGCATTAGCAACTTGCACGAAACTTACACTTTACGCAAGTTCTGCAAGTAGTAAACCATCAGTGGACAGTAGCAATAAATACTAAAGAAGAACATTCTTATGGATAATTCAGTAGTTTTACCTATGCTTAGTTCACGGATTACTGTTTCATATGGTTTTTAAATTATAAATATGATGTATCAGATGCTTATTATATGTATATTGTGGCATCAAAATGTCTAATGGCAGATGATTTTTAACTTTATTGATATAAGAGATTATACTGATTGAATTACTGAGAATTAAAGATACAGGGTTTGGTGAAATAATAGTGAAGCTAATTCAATAAAAACAGTTACCAGTATTTGGTTTCGTATATGAAAATGTAACAATTACTTTACTTCGGGCATGAAACATATCTTGATTTGGGATATCAGGAATATCTTATACGTTTGTGTACATAATGTAGTAGGTATTCATAAAAAATAGTTTCAGTATTAAAATTGTAGTTATTTTTATTCTGTATGTTATACAGCGTATGCATCTTAGTTGAAATTTTTAAATGACAGTTAATTTGATTTCTCGGATTTTTGACACACATGATATTAAAAAAAAGAACTTTATAATATCATGTGTGTCAAAAACTACTGTTAAGGATGGGTTAGTGGAGTTTACACGAAATACAGACATGTTTATAAGAATCCACTGAGGGTTTCCTGAATTTTGTATTAATGTATTGAGAAAATAAATTGCTTTACGCAAAATATTTTAAGTAAGAATTTTGATCTCATTTGCATTTAAAATTACTGAGTTATTTATAAATTAATTTTCAAGAATTTTATTTTGAAAAACATAATCTTAGATTGCAATAAATAGTCATTAATATTTAGAAATGAAGAGTTATTTCATTTATATTTTTTTTAGACTTTTCTGGTGGTGAAATTTATCACACTCTATCATACTTACATTTCATGAAGAATGATATTTAATAACGCCATTTAGCTTTATTATCATATAAAAGAACTCGCGTGTTAAAAATGTAACAAATGCACTTTAGTATAATAAACAGTTAGTATTGACTGACATATTAATTGAAACATGTACAGTTTCTGTTTACTTAAATAAGCTGACAGACGTATTTTAAAAGTAATTAATTGAATTCGATACTTAAAATACCTGTTTACATATTTCTCCCTGATAAATTGCGAAGAAAATTACGAATTCCTGTAAAGTAATCAAATTACATATTTTAGCCAAAGGCACTGAGTAAATTACATGAAAATATAGTCCATGCACATCAAATTTCCGAACAAATACTTGTTACACATATTTGTAATCATCATTAAAGTCTCACTGAGGCACTTTGTTTTGTAAATTGAAATTTTTTCGAACTTCGGAAACGCTTTACAGCATAAAAAGTTGAAAAATATAGTATTTGGTTATTTATGTTATTCTTTTATTTGTATTATAAAATTATTTTATCTGTGATTATTATTTAAACTGTTTCTACTATTATTATTTAAAAATAATTCTTTTGTTAGATGTACTCTGTGATATTAATTAAGCATCTAATGAACAAACTAATTTTTATTGACTTGTAATCGGTTTGAGGTATCCTTAAGAATTATTTCTTAGAATTTTTAAACTACGTACTTTAATATTCAATTAAACCAAATAAATTTAAATTTAGAATTATTGTGCTTTTATCGGTTGAGAATTCTACTAGAGAGCATTTTAAATCATTTGTGAAGATTGTGAAGTTTTTAAAATTTTACGAAATATTTGTATGTGTTTTTTGAATAAAATGTTTTTAATTATCCGTACTGTATTTGTATAAATCGATTATATTTTCGAAACTAATTTCTGATTATTTTAGCAAAAATCGAAAACATTTTCAGACACACGTGTACTCATAGCTCAGGATGATACAAGTTGAAATTACCACAAAAATAATTCTATAAAATATAGTTAATTCCGAAGAAAAACCTTACACTGACGTAGACTTTTAATAAAGCTCTAGCATTTGTAAGAGTGATCAGAAGTAGGTACCTGTTTTACAGTACTGAAAGAAAGACTTGGGCTAAAGAATGGGGATTCTATGCCTGATCGCCTTGGGATTGGGATTATTTAATTATGGCAAAGTACACGAGGGCTATCTGCCTAAAGGAAGGGGTGTCTTCGTGGAGAACGTTCTAAGGGAAAATGGCTCGTATACACGTAACACATGGGGAAAACCACGTAAACGCCCATGCAGTCAGCCCGTTCGCTGGATTCGAACCTCGGATGGAACTATCAGTGTTCAGCGTCTTTATCGCTCGGCCGCTGGTGGGCTTCTAATCGCCTTGGAAATCGAAAGAATATTAACCACAATCTCTGCTACTCAGGTTGTTTTTTGCTTAATTCTACGATGTTGTGTTTCGGTTCGAATCAGAATTAATAAAATGTTTGATACTTCAGGAATGTTAGTGGGAATTTAACACTTGTAAGAATTTTTGAGTGAAAAATATCAATCATTACGCTGATAAACGATTCGTTTTTATTGTGTATCAAACGTAATTAAAATGTGTTATTACCAAAAGGCCAAATGCAATTTAAAAAAATCTGATGTGTACACCACATGACTTCCTTGTATGGAACATTAAATTATACGCATTTGTTTCTTGCATTTCTTTTAAAATTATTGGATTTAATTAAATGTTCTTCGCCGACAACGCATAAACCACAATAGAATAAAAGCATTCTTTAAAATTCACTCTATTTGTTTAACATAGCGACACTCTGGCACTAGGTTCACTTAACAGTATTATATTTCATTCATATTATAACTGAGAATGCACAAAATGTATATCATTTAAAGAATTATCTAATCGTTGCCACATGTTCTTTTCAAATACTATAATAAAGCTTGAACGATGTAAAAAGGAAATTAAGCAAACAAAATAAAAAAGAAACAGTTTTTCACAGACAATTAAGTATTTCTCATTCAATCAATTCAGTTTTCACTTCGCGACAAGACAAAAATACATAAAAGCTCAAAATATCTGTATTAAAAATTACTAATTATTAAAAATTAAGTAAATCGTAAACACTTATTTCCTCGAAAAAATTCCAGAAAGGATTAAGCATGATTTAATTCGCAATAATAAATGAAGGCGTTATTTTTGTTGTTGCGAAACTTAGTCTCTCTAGATTGGCAAAAAATCTACAATTCTGCTGTTTCAAACGTAAACAAATATGTCCGCCATGTTATCTAAAACTTAACCGCACTTAAAAAGCTTTTAAATTGTTGACAATTGTACAAATATTGCTTCCAGAATTACGAAAGGCATAAAAACCTTAACTGGAAGATAAGAACAACATAATTCAATCATTTTTGAAGCAAAAAATGTACAATTTACAAACATATAAGAGTAACGAAACTGAGATCACTGTGCCGAGTAACAGAGTGGATATATATATAAATATAGTATTTATATAGGTTTGGTGCGGCCAATTGCAACCAAAATACGAGGTGCACATCTACATGTTATAGCAGTCCTATATACAAAATTTCAACGTTCTGAGGTTACTCGTTTTTGAGTTATGCGAGATACGTACGTACGTTCGTACGCACGTACGTACATACCTTCGTACAGACCTTCGTACAGACGCCACGAAAAATTCTCTTCAGAATTAATTTTAAAGCAGTTTTATAATTTTTTTGGAGGAAACGAGTCTTTTATTCTGTCCTTACGTACCGACATCACGCAAAAACATCGCTAAATTGCATTCGATAGCGGTCAAAATGGATATTTTCGTTGAAATATGCTGCCTGAACCTTTTCGCGATTACAATACTTCCTTTTTACTTCGTACAAGGAAGTAAAAACGGAAAATACGAGTCTGCCTCATTCACATGGGCCACAGGCAGCTTATTATTTAAACATAGTACATATTTTATTTCAGACAGCCTATCTATTTCTATTTTGCATTTTAGAGATTTTTAACAAGATGTTGGCGTCTTCTTCGGATATTCCCTTTTTACTTCCTTGTATAGTAAAAGGAGTATTGTAATCGCGAAAAGTTTCCGGTTTCATAATTCACTGAAAATATCCATTCTGACCTCCCTGGAACGGTGTTTTTGACGGACGTAAGGACAAAATATATTTTTTTCGTGACGTCTCTACGTGTTACTCATACGTATGTATGTGTCTTTCATAACTCAAAAACGAGTACCCTCAGAACATTGAAATTTTGTATATGAGATTGCCATAACATGTAGTTGTGCACCTCCTTTTTGGTTGTAATGGGCCAAACTACACTGGTGTGCAAAACGTAAGCAACAATGTAAATTTTAATCAGATAGCCATAAAATTGTAGAAAAGGGGTTCTTGCGTTCAGAACAATGAACACGCAATTCAGTAGAAAGGCATGCGCATGCAAATGTCAAGAAAAAAAGTCACAGGCTACGTGAGCGTACGCAAAATGCGTACGGTCGGCGCGCTCAACTCGAGATTACCATACAAGGAAGGATGAAGATGCCATTAAAGACATTCGCTGCAAGTACAAGGAGTTCTTTCGTGAAATATTGGCTAGAAGAAATGATCTGGATGACTTCACACGTGGAAGAATGATCGAAATTCTAGAGTAGGGGCGAAGTGTGACCGGCATAGCTGAAGAGTTCAATCAACAAAAGTGGCGTTTCGCGCGTTTAGAAAGCCTTCCGAAACCATAGGTTCAGCTATTAGAAAGGTTGGTGGTGGCCATCCCAGGAAACCAACTGCAGCAAAAAACCCATATATAGTCCTTGCAGACGAAAAGAGCCTGAAACCAGTCAGGAAGAGCCACAGTTCAACAACTATGAACAGCAACGGGCGACAATTTTCGTGGTTTACTGTGTCCAAACACCTTTCACAAAGGTGGCCTATGCGTCTGCCGTCCTGAACGCTGCATCCCTTTGAAAGTGGGCCATCGGCATCACCGTTTTGGCCCGCGTGGTTTCCTGATTTAAACCCCATAGAACATGTGTGGGATGCTTTGGAGGGATGCTTGTGACACGATTACATCCTCCGGGGAACACTCAGCAACTGAAACAGAGGCTGATTGAGGAATGGGCACTCTTACCTCAAGATCTGTTGGACAATCTGATGCTGAGTATGGAGAGACCATTCGAAGCAACCATTGCAATTAGGGGATGGCATATCCCATACTAATGAACACCTGCTTGGTGTTCTTCCTCTTGTACAAACAATCATGTGTAACGATACTGTGAGTTCAATAACGCCTGTTTTTCTTTGATTCCGTACTGTATGCATTGTATTAATTTTTAGAGCAATTATGATTTCGTCATCGTTTAAATACAAAATGCTGTCTCTTAATTCTGAATTTCATGTCTCTCAGATGTTTTCTAGTGGAGTTATGCCAAAAAGAACACCTGTTGCTTAAGTTTTGCACACCAGTGTAACAGTATATATACATAGATAGATAGAGGCTATGTGGGCGGCAGAAGTTGAATCTATGGAGTTTCTTGATTTAGAAAGATAATTTCATGGGCGAGATCGCACACCAAATGCACATACGGCACACAACATACAAGATACTAATAGAAAATGCTTTGAATTTCAATTCTTGTTGCCACCTCTAAGAAATCATTCCTAATAACTCTAAATATGATCAAACTATATACTGCTCTGATTTATTGCTAAGCCGATTATTTAATTTTCTATCAATTCCTACATTTATATATATATATATATATACCCACTCCAATCTATTATCCAGCTCGTCGAGCTCAGTTTTTTTATTTTATGTTGGGAAATTGTGTACTTTTTTGCTTTAAAAGTGATTAAGTTATTTTTATGCTCCGGTTTTTATGTTTTAGCCCTGAATAGCTGAGAATTCTCAACAAGTTGTTTAAGTTGAAGTGTTTCTAAGCTTAACGACAGAGCAGCCATTTGTTTACATTTGAAACTTTTAGTAGAATAGTGAATTAAGTCACTTTCTGCACGTTTAGTGTCTTTTTGCTGAACGAGACCAAAAATAAACTTTCAGTTTTATACTTACCCACTGGACGAATTGCATTTTTTTTCGTACAAACTCTAATTCTAAAAACTGCCTTTTAACTCTTTTAACTTTACTTGGTGTTTTATGTTTTTGTGTATTTTACAATTTTTAAGGAAGATGTTTTGAGTTTTATTTATTTTTGCTTGCCGGGAAGTGAGAACTGAATTAATTGAATAAGAAATAAGACTAAATGAAATGCAGCAAAAATGTGTATAATCTAACAGCCGTACAAGGAAGTCGTGATGTTCGTATCAGATTTTTTTTTTTCCATTTATAATGCATCTAAATAGAAATGACTTTTAACAAGCACAGTATTAACAAGAGCAACGGAATTATAGTTAATAATGAGCATAACAAGCAGACATATAACAATAAAATGAAATTATCATTTGGGACATCGGAAGACAGCTGCAATTATTATCATATAAATTCATATATTTTATTCATAATATTTTATTCATAATATTTTATCATATAAATGCTTTCCTTTGAATAATCTTTCAAGTGACATAACAATTTTGCCGGTTTTTTGTAGCATAACTAATTATATAAAAGTGCATTTTTATCAAATTAAACAGAATAACAACAAATATAATATTGTTACGTTATTTTCTTCCTTCACGTTCGTACGGGGTTCGTAGAGTTGGAGTGAATAACGATGACACTTGATGAAGTATCGAAACACATTTTCTTGGCCAATCGTTCTACAGTTGGCTGAACACAAATGGAAGAATACGACAAAGTGCAGCTTACTTAGTAAATTGGAGTTTTACGGCCAGGAGATATAATATTCAAAAGTTATATGCCAAATGATACATTTATGAAATTTCTAGAATTTTCTAACTACTAAGTTTCGAAATCGAATTTTCGTCTCTGCAAAGTTTCCCTATTTAAAATAGGAAAAGAAACATTCTAATAATTAGGAACAACATTTTACTGCAAAGGATTCTCTTCCCTAGTTTCAGGTACTGCTATTTGAGAAGCAAAGCGTAAAATATGAGAATCTGATAGAGCACATATTGTTTAAAATTATTTTACTTTAAGTGCCACACATTTCACAATGATGAATGGCTTCAAAGGCTTGCATAACTATCTGACAGTGTTTCAACTGTAAATAAACTCAATTTAGAATTACAGAACAATTAAATAACTATTTTCAAAGTTTCTGACAAAATGAATTCCCTGATAAAAATTTTAGGATTTTATAGATCGAATATTGAAAAATTCGGAATGAAATACTTAAGACGCTTTACGGTTTTAACTCAGAAAATGAGTTTCATCATAAATCGAAGTCTCAGAGGACATAATAACCTACCTAAGTAATTACAAGGGCAATTTTAAACATTACGTTCTCAAAGGAAATGAGGGGGAGCAATTAATTTCAGATCATTTCAATCAAAAATTGTTTTTTAAAGCAGCCTTAAAGTCATCATTCTCTGGGACGAAAAGAAGAAAACTTACATATTAACCTTATGAAATGTAGTTTATTAAATCTAATGTATTAAAATAGTTCTGTAAGTGTTTAGGGGTTCTCTTATTGAGGAGTATGCGAAAGAATTAAGTTTGGAAATCAATGATCTACTCTAATAGAATACTAAAAGCAGCGGTTCTCAAACTTTTGACTAACGTGTACCATCTAACAAAAATTGAAAACCTTTAGTACCACCACTACAAAGTACCACTATCACCACCACTTTTGAATAAAGCTTTCAGATCGCATAAATTTACGAGTATTAGAGAAAAAACTCAATCGGGATGTTGGGGTATTAGTTTTTGAATTTAATAGTTAAAAATACATTGCTTCTTTGTGTACCACCTATTTTTCTCTTGCGTACCACCAGCGGTACACGTACCATCGGTTGAGAACCCCTGCTCTAGACTATCATCACTGGAAATGGGCGTGTCGTTACAGTTCACGTCTGTAGCAATGTGTCACGAAAAAATTTGGGGTTTTAAAATGATCGATTTGAATAGGCTATTTACAAAGCGATACTGTTGACACGATTTTACTTTTATCTGATTGTGCTTCAAGTTAGAAACCCGTGACTAAAGTGTGCTTTATGAAAATGAATATATTACAAATTTCACGCATTTTTTTTTATTCCTTACATATTTTTTATTCTATGTTAGAGCTTAAGACATAGAAAAAAACCGAAATGTTTAATATCTCTCTCAGTAATTCAATGTATTATATATTCTTTTGCCTTAGAATTCTTTTGCGTTTCACATTACTCTCAACAGATGGTTGCTCGGGCATTACCACTACGACAATTATTTTTCTTTATGGCCAATAGATGGCAGCATTACCGTTCATCTACTACGAATTACTGAATTTGGTCATTCAAAAGAGTTAAACGGTTTAGAAATTCTTTGTATTGAAAGGCATAAATTCAGATAATTTGTCACTTTCACCAATATTTCTCAGTTTTTGAAATAATATTAATTCTAGGCAAAAGGAATTCCAATGGTATAAATCTCGCCATCTCTTTGTTATAAATTTATTTGCAATATGAACCAGAAATTCTCTTTTTCATGCTGCATTTCTTATTGTATTTAGAAATTCATAAGTGGAATAAATACCTGTTTACACTGTCAAAAACTTGAGAGGAGAATCAACTGATGTAAACTGGTGGTCTTTAGTTGAAGAAAACTCTAATCAGTTTCATGTAAGTCAAAGAGCTGAATCTTAATTTTAAACCCATCATAGACGTAACATTCAGGTCAGATGATCAAATTTTACATTATTACAGGCTTTATCTTGCAATTGCTCTTATTTTCTTTGAACAAACATTGTGTAATTATTAGCAAGTTAATGAGTAATGAGAGTAACTCATTAACTAAGTTAATTAGCAAGTTAATGAGTTAAATCTATTTTCAAGCGTTTCGTAGGGTGATTTTAATTAACTTCTTCGGTTTCTATTACTTATCACAAATATAATCAAGCTCATAAATCGTTTAAACTTTCTATTTATTTTCTGTCATAAATATAGTTCTTAAATGCCATTTATAATCTCTTCATTTCTTATTATGTTTATTCTTCTGTTCCTAAGAAATATTCTTGTTATTTCTACCCAGGTTTGAATCCTTGTGAACCAGCTGGGTCATAGCTAGTCTTATTGTTTCCCCGTGTTTAACGTGAATATGAACCAGTCTACTGCATATATTTCGTTAAATTCACTCTGCGATTTGTTTTCGTTTGGAAGATCTAGTAAATAAACTTCTATGATGGGATTTTAACATATAGATCTCTTAGATTGTTGTCTCATTGTTAACCAAAATGTTAAAAGCAGAAGGTTTGAAAACCTATCTAATTCTTGAATAATAAATAAAAACGCTCAGTAAACATAGAAAAGCATTTGCTATGTGAAGAATGTAGCTATTATGCTACAGAAAAAAATTCACGAGCAAAAAGAATAAATATAATATGTTGTTGTCAATTCGTAAGTGCTAAATAAGAGCTTAAATCTAAGTGTCCTTTACATTAAGTATTTGAATTACCTGTTCAAATTTTGCTGAAGTGATCTCTAATACGAATCTATTGTCTCTTATGGGCACCTCGGATATAGCTATTTTAGCACCGTTTTATCTGTATCTTTGTTATGAAATTTGAGATGTTTTGACTAAGAAAAGACTGACTGTATGTCACTGAAGTTTAAAAGATGAATTGAATTGCATTTTTCTGATTGAATGGAAAAGACTTACATCTCTTCTAATTAATTTTTTAAATTTTTAAATGATTCATTATGGCCTGAAAATTTGAAACGTCTCTACTAAACACGTCTTTTCAGACATCAAAATTATTTCAGAAAATTTAAAGAATTCATACATCTATGTTTAGCAAGCGAAGTGGCACAAGTTGCATTTTTCCACACTATGAAGTTAATGCAGTAAAAACTGTAACGTATGTATGTATTCTTAATACACTTTAATACTTTCCTCGAGGTGATAAAATGTATTTTACTGTCCATATACTGTTTATTAACACGCAAAGAATTTCAAGCTGACTGGCAAAATATACCAGCTAGATAACTAAATATCCTTTTTTGTCTCTTGGTCAAGCGTATTTGGCAAGTAAAATAATTTTGCAGTTTCAGTATTCCAATCAATACCATTGAAGAGGAAATAGCTATTTGGAAGAGTCTTGATCTTATGCATCCCATATACAGTTATGGAGAGGGATAAAAGACGATGTAGTATGCGTAGGTAGTTTTGGGATTGTCAAAGTTATTCGCCATTTGTTTTATTGATAATGGAAATAAAAGTTTTGTTTCGTATTGATCTTTGTGGTTTAAAAGGAAAATTTAAAGGGAAAAAATCAATTGACGAACTTCCAATTTTCGGTAAGCCTTCCTTTCATCACTTAGATGATTTTATGCTTGGCAGTATTATAGGCAAGATTGAAGAAGAGCGAAAAATAACAGATGTTGTCAGAGAGTTCGACGTCAACCACAGTCCTCTTTCAAGGCACTGCGATTGAGGTAGTAAATCAGTTAATTGCTGCTTTTGGCTAGCGAATTTCCCGAAAACTGCAACTAAATGAGATATTTGCATCAAGGAGAACTAAACGTCCGCCGTCCTGTGGTGTGCATTCCATTGTCCTGACGGCAACATTCCGCTCGTCTGCAATGGCATCGCGAGCATCATAACACTTGATTCAGTAGAACATTGCTTGTGTACTATTCTTAGATGAAAGTAGGTTCAGTCTGCTGCCACATTATAGACGTCAATTGATTTGGTGTGTACTGCTTATCTTCCAGGAAAGGACCGATATCCAAGCCTCGGGATAAACAGTGGCCAATGTATGACTGGCTAGGCGCTATCCTAATTTATGCAATTCCTCCAAAAGCAGACATTCAGGAGTATCTTAAATGCTCGATTAAGGCTAATCCATCACTCAACGGCTAGTTTAGATATAAAAGTAATGCTCTCAATAGTCAGGTACTTATATACAAAAATACAAATTACATGCACAAAAATAGGGATTCATTTTTATTGTAACCTGAGATGCCACCTTACTCTTACCATGGGAATTCACTCAACTTTTCAACATTTTTTCGGTTCTTCCATATGTGTTCCGTCAACCGCAGACTTTTCGACGAATCTAAAACAGGCCATTTGAAATAAATCCTTCATAGAATGGAGAATATATATCTAAAAATTAACTCGCACAATGGAAGAAATATGCTATTTTTTCTCTATAATGACATTTTCTCTAAGCTTTACAATGAAGAATAAAAACATTGATGTGTTTCTTTCATTCTAGTAAAACTATATATTTGTTGAATGGCATTTTTGATTTTATCTCACGAAACTTCCTCCACATGTGTTTCGTCAATTGGATGTTATAACAAACGCCTGTTAAAAATTATCCTTCAACGATATGATATACACATACGTGGCTTAAATAGATAGGAGTATCTATAGAAAAGTTATTTTTGAAAAAACATATTCTATGAAAATTACTTTTATAATTTACCAGCTCTCATAGAACGGTTTCATAACAAGACACATTGCGCTATTTTCTTGGCCAAATCATTTTTCCAAACCAAACGTTTCACAGTTGCATGTTGTTAATACCGTAAATTGTGGTAAACAGAGAAGTCGTTTTCTGTTCTGTCATAATTACAAGAAGGAGCTGAAGATAATAATTTCAGAATGGCGCTCATAATAATGAATATTGACTTCTTAATGAAGTATGTTTGCTTGGAATCCATTTTAACCGATAACTTCAGTAAGTTAAACTTTTAATTTTGTGTAAAAAATATATTTCTTATTTGTGAATATATATATTTTATATGCAAAATTATATAGTTAGTAAATGAAGATTCTTAACTTAAATAAATATTGCGAGGATACTAAATAATAACTTGTTATTACACACTCTAGAAAAAGTCTTCCCTAGCTCAATAAAACCAGGCTAGTACTCAGTAAATCCTGTATAGAAAGTGTGATACAAAATAATTAACGGAGAAATGTATTTTAGACACTGGAAAATTTAATGCAGTACTTAGAAAATCTCTGTAACATTTAACTCACCTCAACTGATACCAGAATTTAATTATAAATATTCATACTTTTTTAGAAGCTTCCAAACTATTAAATACGTAGAAGATAAAACAGCTCGCTGATGTGGGATATACAGATGTTTGTCTCCAATATAGCTTAGTAAAACTTATGTTTAAATGCTGTTGAAAGTGTAAAGTGTTTTTCTGTTTGTTTAATGTTTAAAAGAAAACATTGTAACATCTTTTTCTTTTCCCTATTATAAAGTAAAAGGATCTTATAAGGAAACCTGACGACTTCTCGTACAGGCCTGAATAATACGAGCAGGCAAAAAGAGGTAAAATAAACCCTTTATTATTCATCAAACTCTTACCACAAATGCACGTACTATGTTTACAATAACAACGACGACTTGCGGTGGAACTTTAGAATAATTCAACAGTACATTCAAACGTAGTAGGGCTAGAATAACAATTTAGTTTAAGGCTAACTAAGGCTGACTCAACTACCTACCCGGCGATATACTTATTAAATGGCCACAAGGCGCATCAGCAATTTCGCATAACAACAGCAAGGACAAAATAGTAACGTGCGTTGCCTGGCGAAATCACGCTCTGAATAAACTTCTAGATTCATCTGTATTTATAATCTCTTCACTTGACTTTAAATTTGCATCCTGGCGAGAAAATACGAGGAAAAAATGAGATGTTCAGGTAGGATACTTAACTTCAGGAAACGTAAAATGTAAGCAATGAGTTCCCAGTATTCAAACATCGGACCTACGGATTACTAGTCAGACATGCTTTCAGTTACACTATGGTATTGGAGGAAGACATTTCCTTACATGGTTCTCCATCTAACGAGTGAGTAGGAACTCAGTTGCCGAATCCTGGAGTGGTGACGAATTATCGTCCCTCCATATTTTAGTTTGGGAACCACTGCAGAACCCATTATATTTTTAGAAGCCAGAAAACAAAGAGCAACCAACAGTAGCCTTCGATGGGTTTCGAATTCCGAATCCCCCATTGGTAGCTGGACGTGTTACCAATTGCATAACAAAGGCTCACAGTGGGGAAGAACAAAATACCGGGCAAACTGTTTTAAACGTTCGAAAACAGATTTGAGCTAATAAGAGTGACGAGAACTATGACAATTATTCTCAGTTTAATATTGAGAAGATAAACACATTACGCTTTTAGAGACATTAGGTACATCCAATACCATAGTGAAGCACAAAAGATGCAAAATATGCAGCGCCTTCGCCGGGAATGAAACCCCCAACATCTGGAATACGCGCCCAGCGTGCAGACCACCACACCACGAAGGCATGCGAAGAAGGCGGGAGAAATACCTTTTAAGCTGTCTTAATTTAAAAGAGATATAAACTTGTGGACGAATTTGAATTTAGCTTTAGCTATATACTGTATTTTTCACTACTAGACAAATAGTTAAAGTAATATCATCTTGAAGGATAATATCCACATCTAAAAAAAGCATGAGTAAGTTTACATTCTTATTCTACGAAATTTCACTGAAAGTTCTCAAATAAATGTTCTTTAACTTAACATTTATTAACTTTTATCATATATAATCATAAAACAAAATTTCACGACCCATGCGGAACTAATCAGTAAAATTGCATCCCAGATTTCCCTCTAGTCGTGTAATAATTTATTGCATCGTGCTGAGTTCGTTTTATGTCAAGTATTAAGGCTAATTACATTTAATACATTTCTGCAATGAATTTGAATACATTTTAGATATTACCTGATATAAATAAGTTGTATAGTCCTACTATGTCTAGAAGCTTATTTCTGGGTACTCTAATAAACCATGAATTATCGCTTTAATCTGGAGAAAATAACCAAGGTAAGAGGCTCAAATAATCTTTTTATTAACTTGTAAATGAACAGAAAGCACTACTTGAGTACAGACAAACCTTCGCTATTTGCAGGTCTTTAACATAACACAAATGAAGTACGTAATTTCAATGTAAGTAAAGTAGTCTGAGTTTACACAGAAAACAAATACTTAAACATGCTCAAGATCATTAACGCCGCGTATTTAAACGTCGCCTAACAAGATGCTAAGGGCATGTGAACATGTGAAAGCAGGTCCGGACACCCGGGTGGCTTGGCATAGACTGATTGGGTATCGTCCGGATCCCACAACTGTCTAAAGCAGCACTTCTCGGTACCCTAGAAGGGCCGCCCTGGGGGTTTGTTGAATTTACATTCTACATAGCTCTAGCATTTTTTAATAATGCATTCTTCCAACCGAACATGCGCATTTAGAAACCTGAATTTTGAATTCGAATTTATTTTGTAAAACTTTAACGAATGTTTTATTAACAAACTAAACGATTTCAAAGCGAGTAACGGCAACACTGTACGGAAAAAACATTTTTATCTCCAGCTCGCGAGAGTGCGTATCGGAAATTTCTAAAGATATGCTGTTTTTAAATATTTTGTGATATCGCTGTTCAACTGAATTTTATGTAGTTTAAGTAACATGATATTTAATAAATAAAGGTAACACAAAAAAATGTTATAAAAAAACCACCAGCACCTCGCATTTCCTTTCCATGAGCCCTCAGATTTATTTATTTATGGTCTAAGAAACTGTTCCCAATTCAGTTTTGCCAAGACGAATTGACGAGCCCATAATTCTGTAGTTGGTTTGAACAATTATTTACGCGCGATTTGTACAGAAGATGTTTTGGGACAGGAGAAGAAAAATAGGATTTAAAAGTAAGAAATGTTTTTCTTATTTTTATTACGGATTATCATATGTAATCATGTCATATTATTTGTTCTTACGATTTTATGACATCGCTGGCAGATAAAGGAAAAGCACCTAAAAAATAATCTTTGCTAGAGTAAGTATGAATTGCAAAATGACGAAAGCTTGCAAAGATTTCATCATGTTCAACTTTTATTACTTATTTATTTAAACATGTTGCTTAATTTAAAATCATTTTTGCCACATTTTAAAATGTATATTTATATTTTAATATACTGCTTAATTTAGTTTGAATGAACAAAAATTTCTCCTGACATGTGAAAAAAACTGTAAATTTTTTAGCATGAAGCTGTGAAAGGAATTACTTGTGTTTTTGTTTTTCAGAACCCCGACCAGATGTTTGCATGCCATCCGACACGAACCTCTACGCATTACCCCGAACTGTATCTTCTATCTCCGAAATCTGTCTGGCACCCAAATGTATGTGAAATTCAGATTTTATAATTTAGCAGTTTCCAAAAAGTAAACAAAGAATGCTTGTCCTTATTAAGATAAAAACATTGATTCTTAAATCATACTACCTTGAAGATAGCGTAAAATACGGTTTTGTTTAAAGATTAAAAATAGATCCGCGAATCGCCTTGTCGAGTAAGCCGTAAACAAAACATGCACTGACATTAGTAATTATAAGGCAAAGCGTATTCTTCAGTACTAATTCAAAGCGTTTTATTTCACCTTGATTAGGTAATTTCAGAACGAATTAAAGCATTTCGAAATCGGTGATTTCTCAATTAATACTTCTACCAACTAAAGACATTTAACATGAATTCGTAAACCATGCTAGTAAATGTTTTATTAAAATTGCAATGGTGATAATAATACCTGTTAAGACGAATACTATTTATAAAAGAACCAAGGATGCTGCATTCCACTCAGAGAATTAGTAAATTTAAATACTGAAATTGACCAAATTTAGATGTTTCCTTCTTCCTAGATGAGTCAATCAGTTGCAATTCTTAATCCTGCGTCTTTTCACTAAGAATTTGCATGCTTGAAGACCATGGTATAACACTCCGAGGGGCATGCCCGTATATATAAGGCCTAGAATAATTTTGCGATGTCCTTAAGAATGCATACATATATACGTGCATCTTGAAATATGTGCAAGAAATTAAATCAATATACATGAAAAATACATAATTCCAGTTAGAGTACCAGAGTCATTTTGGCATTCAATCAAGAAAATACCTCTTAATGGCAATTTTCCTAAATTTGGGCTTTCATAGTGAACCCCCGTGCTGGTCAGAGGGCGAAAGATATGCTTTATCTCCGGTAAGGATAGAAATGACGCCAGAAATGGCAACATTCGCTTGTTAGACGTTTCGATGTTACTCGTATTTGAAATGCTTGATTGCAATATAGCCATAACTTCTATTATAAATATTCTTTGCCTAGACAGTTTCGATTGTCCCGCTTGTTTTCTTGAACACGTTTACAAATACACTGATGAAGCTAATATTGGCCTAGAAGATGATATTGAGTAGCAACTTGTTGCGTTACGTATCTAATTTCAGCTGCAGAAAGTATTTTTATAGTTCAGATGCAAACATTCTTAGTCCTTTAAATTTAAACTTATCAAGGAACATTCACAACATTATGAATAACAATGGCTGGTAATACCAGATTTCTCCAGAAAAATCGGAAAAATGTTAAGCGATAGCTACAGCTTCACTGTGAGCTTTAGCATTAAATATTCACGAGAAATGAACCTGCTTCAGAGTTGCAAGCTCCTCTCTTGTTCAGGAGAAAGAGCTTGTTACATCTCTCTGTATTTAATCCGTTTCAAATATGGATATCCATACATAAATATATTCTCATGTGTAGGGAAATAAATGAAATATTATCTTTCAGGTTCAGGACAGGGTTATCACCTAGAAATAAATGTAAATCGTCTCACTTCCCGCCTCCTTGCTGCGGCACGCCCCAATGATTCTTCCAACATCTCTTCAGAATACGAATATTGCCTGACGCCTGGCTGTGTCAAAGCAGGTAAGAGATTTTCTTGTTGATCGGCTTATTAAAGCACATTTAAGGAAACCTTACTGTTCCACTGAAGAAAGGACTGGTACTCCAAAATGTGCCTTTTTATGATTAGGCGGTAGAGTTTGAGATCTAGTTTGCCGAAACATCCGCAACTATGTGAATAGCCAGTCGATTCATGCAGCATTTCTGCTGTTTGCTTTGCAAATAAGTGGTCGTATAAAGCATAGGATCACAGGAATTTTACTTTTGATAATTACTAATACTTAATATAAAAAATAAAAAAAAAAAACTTTCAAGATAAATTTTGCTAACAATCGCAGAAAATTAAAAAAAAAAAAAAAAAAAAAAAAAAAAAACTTAAGAATACTCAATTACTGTATATAGTCACTAGATCATTATGAAGCAGGAGACATGAAAAATTAGCATTTTTCTCCCCGGGACGAATCCTGGACCTGTCAAATACGCCTCCACTTACACCAATAAGGCATGCGAAATGGAGGAGAAAAGTACCTTACCTACCCCCACTTTTATAGGGTAACGGGAGATTAGGAGACACAGTCGCCAAATTCTGGTGGTTAAGAATTATATTCTTCCACCTTTTAGTTCGGGAACCACTTGTTCAATCTCTCGGTTGTTTTGAAACTTGACACATGAAAAATGGACAGTGCTCTCGCTGGGACCCGAATCCTGGACCTCTCGATTACGCATGCGTTTCCAGTGAATAAGAGCAAATTATGATCTCCATAGCATGCTTTTACAGTTTTTACAATGAAGTCTGTCTGTCTATCTGTGATGATGATTTTTGTGCACACAATAGCTCTTATGCAAAATTTCCAAAAATTTCTGTTTTCCGCATTTAAGCTTTCTGCCGTCATATATAAAACGTTGATTAGATTTTGGGTAAAATTAGATAAACTGAAGGTGGTAGAATGAAGCCCACAGCAGTTTTTCATGGACAACCAGACGTGATACTTTATTTGAAGTTCGTAATAATTTTGTAATGTTGAATATAGCATACTGCTGCATATATATGCCATAATTTTTTTATTGTTGCAATTGCACAAGAATTATTTACTGATACCTATATGGAAAGTATATATACTAGTAGTATATCTCAATATGAATTTAGATTTACTCATATAGCCCAACACAAAAGAAAACTAAATTATGCTATTCATTTGAAAGTATTATATTTTACATCTTAGGAATATTTTTTCAATTTTAATATACAGATATCATTTGGCCCTACATTTTTTCCTTAGGATGGATAATCTTTTAAAATTGTCATTTTTTCTTAACTACAACTTTTATATACATACATATCAATATAATATATTCATAAGCTCTATTATATATTTATTTATATATTAATATAACATGAAACTTTTATGTACATACATATTTTATACATATTAATTTTCTGTATTCTTGGAAAATGCTTGCTTGTTTGTTAATCATGATCAAACCAATGAAACCGATAACACTACTGTACTAAACCATACGGAAAATAGCAGTAATTAAATAAATAAATATATACAAATAAATTATATATAAATATAGTTACTTTTATTGCAATACCATTTATTACATTAAACTATTCGACATTTAAAAAATAATGCCCTTACGTGCTTCTAAAGAGGATTTGATGGTCGTCATTATACTTTTAGCACATTTAAATGTCAGTTTAGTATATATTATGGCTCCTGTCAATAAATCAGTTACATTTGTCGATAGTCAATTTTGTAATCGCATATGAAACACAGAATCGTATACTACTGTGATCACAAATGAAAAAACCGTGATAGATATTCCATTCTATCATTCGCACAAATACTCTCGTGATATCTTTCAACATAGCAAGAAATTTGTAACCAGTCCAGACAGATTGCGATTGCGATACAGGAAGGTAGCGAAGCAACATCATTTTGTTCCTCTGAAATTCTAAAATTATTTGTTTACGATGACTCCATAGGTATTCTGTAGACTCAGGATTAGTAGCACAGCAAAATCAGGATCAACAAAATTCTGCTGATTTATCAGCAGGTGAGAATAGCACGTGATCATACTCATCACGAAAGGCAAATACAGTTTATTTCACCTGTTACTATAGATACGGCCCAGTAGGACATCTGCTGTCAGAATACCGGATTTCCTTTAACTAAAATCCATTTAAGGTATACATTATTAAACTTACCTATTAAATGTAATTTTAATAAAAGGAGTAAAGGAGCAAATATTTGATTACATTGCTATACATTTAGAAAAAACAATTTTTACATATGACTAAAATCTAATGTAAATTTCGTATTACAGTACAATTTCGTTCGTATTCGTTGTTAGAGCTTGTTTACAAATGATTGTAACTGAATTGTAATGAATGAGCTCACTGCTGTTCAAATTATGAAATTGCTGGGAGGTCATATGCTGTCCATATCAAAATTTATTCGTTTTATCTTATGATTCACGTGTGATTTAATGCAAATTAAATGAGAACAGGTTGTAAATGAGCATAATTGTCTTCGATTGTCCCATTTTTAAATTCCCACCATAAATTAAGTTTATTTGCAACTATATAATGCTTACTTTCTCATAGTTCTCAAAAGAACATTTAATCTACTTTTGGTTCTTGATTGCTACGATTGAGCATTTCACATAAAGAAAACATGAAGAGTAGCTTTGACATGCAAACAAAATTAATCTAAAAATAGTAGTTGCAAGTACAAAAATATACGTATCTGCAAGATAAAAAGCATATGATAAAAACACTAAGTTCAAATTGTTATAGTTTCTTAACTTTCCATTTAAATTTGGCTGTTTCGCTTTATGCTCTTAAATAGTAATTGCTTATAATAAATACCTGAAAAAGTTCGCCCATTTAAGAAATAATACATATCATTTAATTTTTGCATAACACTAGTAACGTAGGCTCTTTCATAAACATTTTAGTCAATAATGATTTCAAATAACTTCAGATTTGGGAATCGGAATGGTTATTAATCAATACAAAAATTGTGAAATGAAACTCAAATCATTGTGATCTGAGCTTTCATCTGAGAATAATGTCTCATTGTTTTACGACTTACCAATATCTGCTGCGTAAAATTTCAGAAATTAAGATACCAAAGTAGTTCTTTAAGAACAGGCGCCTATTGCATTACTTTATCTGTGCTAGTTTGAAAATGTTTGCCAACTAGAATTAAAATAAATATTAAAGTCGACCATGACTGCAATTACTTCTTCATGCCATCAACATTTCCAAATTAACAAATACACACACACACATTCATGCACAACCATATATACGGAGTATATATATGAAATGTAGAATCTCATACATTATTTGTGTTTTGCAGCCGGGGCAACAGGAATGAGACAAATTTTTGAATTATAAAGTGATACGTTTATTTTGGCATCCAATCTCACAATCTGTACCTCTAGGAGAAGCCCTATTTATAGATATGTGTACTTCATGGTGCTCATCCAATCAGCGATATTAATTGAAATCACGAGGTGACGCGATCTTCTCATCACGAGTGTTCTTAAGGACTTTATGTAATATGACAGATTTATGAGTTTGGCGATTTGGCGGGTGCCAACAGGTTAATATAATTTATAATAAAGAAAGGATTTCGCCAAAATTTAGGAACAGGGAGGCAATTTAGGTAGAGAATCGCAACACATTATTAAGCGATATGATTAGAATTTAATTTAATCAATTGATTTAAAAATATCATTACATATATTATATAGAGAGAGTGCTTAAAGTTTCGTTGTCAAAACTTAACATGCTGGTCTGTCACACCATGACAAATAAGATTTACATAGGAATTTTGTCCAAAAATGCGAATGGCGACCGCAAGAGGGCAATGTTCGCAAGCGTAGAGGGGAAGAACGAAAGGATGTCGAAAGATGTATTAATATGACTTTTATTAAATAACATGGTTAAATCACAGAAGATGTTCAAAACTCCTTCCATTCGCCAAACCGCACGCTTCACATGGATGGGTTCAAGGAACCGTTCAAAATGGGCAGGTGTGTCACGGACTCGCGCCGCTGCTTCTGCGATCTTGGCGACAAAATCCATGTCCATTGTTACAACTATTTCGTACACCATGGATTTCATGTGTCCCGGCAGGCATAAATACAGGAGAGTCAGGTCGGAGAATCGCGGTGGCCATGTGACTGGTCCGCTTTTGCGATCCAGAGATGAAGATATGTCCTATTAATGTATTCCCACATAGTGCTGCTAAAATGCGGAGGCTTTTCATCATGCTGAAACTAGCTGTTTCAGCGTATAGCTGCTGGAAAGTCAGCCATCAGATCCAGCCGTACTCTTCCCACAAAATGTCTATAAAAATATGAGTTAGTTAATCGATTCATCCTTATTCTGCAACGTGCTCGTCTGAAATGATCACACTTCCCACTCTCCTATAAGCCTGCGAACACTGCTATCTAACGATCGCTGTTCGCATTTATGGACACAAGTTTCTATGTAAATCTTGTTTGTCATGGTGTAACAGACCGACATTTTAAGTTTGGGAACGACATTTTGAAACACTCTCTATATATTTACTTGAAGTACAAAAATATATATGTATTTGATCGAAATGCAAAATATATATATATTTGCTTGAAGTATACACACACAAAGGATGTACCAGCTTTTGTCCGGAATAAATAGATTTGTGAAGAAATATAAATGTAGCCGTAGCTTAAATTATCAGACGATAAGGTTAAAAAACAGGATCCATTTATTATTGGTTAGAAGAAATAGCAGTTACAAAAATTAAGATCTCCGGAGTAAATAAAAAAGAATTACTAATAACTTTTTGTATGAAGTTTACTGCATCGTTGCATTTAAGAAAAGACCCCGATATTCCTTTGCGAGTCCTTTTATAGCCTCTGGAAAGGCGGAGCTTCCAAGAAATGACGTCAGCCATTCCAGTTCGCTTTAAATATCTCCAGAACATTCTATAACTGTACGTGTAGAAAAGGCGGGAAAAACA